TTCTTGTGAGCAACTGACTTCCATATATATGTCTTGAGACAGAAGCTAACAAGCAAACAAGTGTGGCCCTGGTGTATCGCTCAACACATTTACTTCGAACCCCGAGGAATACCCGAAATGCCTTATCCCTGTGGCCAACCGTCCGATGCTCTGGTACGCCCTAGACTGGTCGAAAAGGATGGGCATTACTGGTAAGCGCATTCCCCCCATCGAAATAGCATGCGGGGCATCCCATAACGCCATGTGCTCTATCGCAAAACATCGGAAGGAAGACTGACTATGGTAGATGTCACTTTGGTCACTCCCCCCTCTTCGCTCGCTCCCTTACAGGCTGCTCTACGACAGAACCCGCATCTTACCTCCCTCCCTTCGCCATCAGTCATCGCACCCGCAGAACTCGAGATGACGACAGGCACAGCAGAGCTCCTCCGTTTGCCCGAGGTGCAGGCTTGTATCAAATCAGACTTCCTTCTCTTGCCTTGCGATCTAGTTTGCGAAATACCCGGAGAGTCTCTGCTCGAAGCATGGATGGTGTCTGGCGGCGAGAAAAATCGTCGGAATGGACTCAGCATGTACTATCAGACACAGGGTCGGGAGGAGAGTGTCAAGGGCGAAGCTACAGACTTTGTGGCAGTTGCACCACTTGAGCAGAACGAGGCTCCAACCGTGTCTCATGCCGCGCCTCGTTCCTCGCTCTCCAAGCTAGTCCTCTCTATGCCCATGGCCACCTTGAAAGAGAAATTGGAAAATGACAAGGGCTTCCTTGTGCGCCACTCTCTAGTGGATACGCATGCGCAGGTGAAATTGCTGACGACATACCGTGATGCGCACATCTACGTCCTACCGTACTGGGTCAAGGACATAGCTCGTTTGAATGAGCAATTCCAGTCGGTCGGTGAAGACTTGGTTGGATGGTGGGCCAAATCGGAATGGCAGCAAGGCCTCAGCGAGAAGCTGAAGATCAACGAAATCTTCCAGCCGAAAAGCCGTCGCCAGAGCCACGGACTCACTCTAGGTGAGAGTGAAAGCCATGACGGTGAATCCCTCGACGGCGAAGCGCTAGAGGAGGAGATTGATCTACAGAGCATGAGCACTACCAAAGCCACCCCAGCCAAATTCAGCGCAGCCGCATCAGAACCCCAATTCGCCTCTCGTGTCAAGGCTCCCTCGCAAACTGTTAAGAGTTCCAAGTCAAATCTACCACCGATGCTCGCGTACGTCCAAAAGGGCACAGCGCCTTTTGTTCGACGGGTTGATTCATCCGCCATGCTTCTCTCTACCTCTCTCCGTCTTGCTAAGCTGGAGTCCATCGAAGAGGTCGGCAGAGTTGCTTCGTCGGCATTCGCGCACCCCTCCAAAGTAGCAAACACAGCTAGCATCGCGCAGCGTTGTACTGTCACGAGGAACGACTGTCTAGTGGATAATAACTCGACGGTTGAGGAGAAGTGCGTGATCAAAGAGACCATCATCGGTGCTAATTGCCATATCGCCAGCGGTGCTCGCTTGACTCGTTGTTTGATCATGGACGGTGCTGTTGTTGGCGAGCGCTGTCAATTAACGGGTACGATTGTTGGACGCCGCAGCAAGATCGGCCGGGAAACCGTGATGAAGGATTGTGAGGTTCAAGATGGAAACGTTGTTCCTGATGAAACAGATGCCAAAAACGAGAAGTTCATGATCTTTGAGGGTCTTGACGATGAAGATGATATGGATGCTTCGGATGACCAAGATTATTGAGTTGACGTATATTTGTCCTGGCTAAATGTTTATGAGATGAGATTAATGAGATCAAGGAGATCAAGGAGATCAAAAAAATAGAATTTTATACCCCTGCATTCACCAAGTTATGAAAGTTTAAAGCCTGACATGTGAAGCAGAGATGCACTCTAACAGGCGCTGTATGAGAAAATAATAGTGATCCGAACAAGATAGGCTAAGAGGCTCCCAAATACCACGTTACAACATCATGTGTAATGCCAAGGGCCAATCCGCTCCACCTCGTGCTTCCCCAGACGCATACTAAAACGTAGTACTTCCACCAACGCAATGCTGGTGCAGGCACGGGAGTCTTTGGGATGTTATCTTGGCAGTGGAGATATTAGTACTATTGGCACGCTGCGTGAACTATCCTCCGCACGAATGAGCAGTTTCGAATGTCTTTCTCTGGGACTCTTTGCATCCACCCGTCAAACGTCAGACCATATGCGTGTGGATTCGGGATTTGGATGCGATGACACCGAAGCACCGTGCGGAGTGTCTGAGAAAAGAAAGACCCGAGGACACAATTATCATCAGAGCCATAATGAGGTCCACGAATTGAAATTCTTGTCTTCTCCGCATTTGTTTCGCGACGGTGGCCCTTGGCCTGTGCCCAAACTGCTACCCCTGATCAGCCACATAGCACCGTGCATATTATCGAGGGTTGCCCGGTTCCAAGGTTGAAGAGGAGATTAAATTTCCACGCACAGAGCCCTGGGGTTAAAAGAACCGGGGACGTTAGGATGCTTAATCCTCGGTGATTTGCCGTATCAGACGCGCAATGCCCTTCCCCTCAGTATGCAATACTGTCTCTAATCTAAATTGTACGCTAATTCCAAGCTCGGGAAAGGCAAGCCGTATGGAGAAGGAGATATGTATTGGGATTCTCCACAAGTGTATAAAGTACAAAGTATGTTGTACTCCGTACGGAGTATGGAGTTGATTAATGGTCTAAACGATTCGAGTGGGAAAAAAATGTATGCCGATCACGCGGGAAGTTGTCTTGTATGTGGATCGACGGATTGAGTGGTTTGCAGCAAGCGGGGAGGGGAAGCGGGACATTTTGACGAGATTTCGAATTGTAACTACAATATAGATAAGAATTTGTATATCAGCTCGTTATTGTCTGTACGCTGTAATCACGCAGCCTATCATAAGTATTTCCAATTTGAGCGGGGAGTTGGATCCTTTGAGATTCAGCCCTAGAGTGGTGTGTGCCAATTAGCTGAACTGCTGTATGACAGGAACTCCCGTATCAAAATAGTTGGCCTCGGGAGCCCTGGTAGTCGAATCAGTCATTGTACGTTTACCGTTAAAAGTTGAGATAAAGCTTATTTGGAACCAGTAAGGTAGGATATATATTCCGTTGAAGTAAACCACGAAAATGTATTAAGTTCCATGTCCCAAATCCTCGGAGACATAGATACGATCACGCATATCAGAACTAGGAATTCAACCTTATTACGTGTAACATTGAAGGAATGTCTCAGACATTATGTGGTGACATGTTGTATACAAGATAAAATATTAAATTCAAAATATCAACGAGATGATAGCTCTGGAGATTAGGTTGAGTGGATCAGCACAACCATGGAAACAGCTCGGACTTTTCCAAAGTTCGGATTAAGGGAGGTTCTCTGTTTTTATTTCACGTGAAATTGTCAAATTAGGGCTTTAATATATATATATACAGGCAAAAGTACAGATTACAATAAGTACGCACTTTTTTAAGATGCTTCGAACACATGTGGGATAAGGCGACAAGGAGATAGCGTCACACTTAGTTTAGTGCAGGCGCAAATCGCGGGACGCGGTGCCAGGCCGATCGGATTCCCAGTTATCAAGCTCGCTAACTCCTTCCACGTTCTCTGCAGAATGTTACCTTGCGTCTTTCAGTTTGACAGGGACATTCTTGTGGTAAGGTACCGGGTGACATAGTCCAGAGTATCGAGTACCTTGGAATAAGTGTACAAGATAGTTTTACCATAGTTTTTGGAATGTTTTGGCTTAGAATAGAATGGCTATGGAGATGTCTAAGAATATCAAGATGGAGCACCAAGGGGAGACCTATGATTGGCACGTAAATTTGGAGGTCGGGCCCCCCTTTTATGAACGGCTTCAGGAGGTGAATTCAATACAGTATTCCAGTAGAAGTGCAAGTAGAAGTACACAATGTATAGTATAGTATACATTAAACAGTAAATAATAAGTAAATACTAGATAGCTACATATGTACATATGTAACTATGTAGTTAGTAGACACCTAGGCATAGAGAATGGATTTGTAAGTCAATAATACATGGATAACTAGTTAATGTTGTACTCCTGTATCATGCAAAGAGACGCATAAGCATAACGAGTTAAGAAATGTCAATTTTCTCTTTTTTCTTCTCTTTGCCTATTTTACTATTTTACTATTTTGACTATTTTACTAATTCACAGATTCAATTCAATTTGATTCGGTTCAAAATTCCATATACTCCCGCACCTAATCTACCCCGTACCGTCCACCGTGTCTACGATCTCTCCGGAACATCCCCCCCTCCTATTTTCCTTCTCATCTTCTCTTTCTCTCTTCCCACTCCTGAA